GCAGGTACAAAGTGTCCCGATGTGCGTTATGTTACGCCCGTGGCACTCAAGATGGTGTCACGTGACATTCCCACAGAAAGAGCAACCGGGGTCAGGTTAAGTTCTCTGTTCCTCATGTGCTCCCTTTCCTTCCTAAAAATACCTCAGAGGTTTAAAGATGTATTTGCTTTTAGACTGTGAAAAATTCCAAATATATATAAAAGAAAATGTGACACTGACCAGAAGTTTCTGTCCCTCGCGGGTCGAAGTTGTTGATTGTCCTTCAGAGGTTTTCATAGTTCCCACCTCCGGTCCCCGGACAGACTCATCTGGAGAACAGAGACATTTTGTTCAAACATTTTGGTCCCACATTGAGGACTTTGTCCTTATTTCACTCTCAGCAAAGTAAAAAAAAAAACAAAAAAAAAAAACAAAAACAAGAAACAATCACCTGTTGACATATTTTCCTGAGATGAAGCTGGCTGTGATGAAATGTTTTCCACAGTGGAGACACTCTGACTGCGAATCAATCAAATTTAAACCAGGTCACACTCAGTTTGGGTCTTTCCTTCTGCTTCATGTTCTTTTGTATTGAAAATATCACCAATCAACACAATGGGAAGACACGAGGAGACTTTATGTAATGTTATCATTGTCTATTCATTTTATGGGGAGGGTATTTTTATTATTTGTGTCAAACCTGGGGGAAATATTGAGCCGAAACCATTCCTAACCAAGGAATTCTACATTGTGGAGATTGATGACTCTTTTTCAAACCAGTCACACTAACAAAAATACTCACTAAAACAACACCAGTTTGGATTAAAATGGCTTGGTTACTCATCCTCAACTTCTAAAAGTGAAAAAAAAATTACCAAGAGTGTGCAGTTAGAGGGATTAAATAAGGTTAATTACATTCAGAGTTGAACTTGTGCTGCTCTTAGTGAAAACCTAACCAACGAACCAAGCATATCCCTTACCTGACGGTCTTCAGGCAGCTTTTCTTGTTCGCATTTTCCCTCTGTGGTTTCTCTGTCCCCCCTTTCATGCCGCGCTGGCAGGACAGCACGTAGTTTCTGTTGTTATTGTTAGCCCAGAATGTCCCCACGGGAGTTTCATACCGCAGACAAAAGTCGACCCTGACTCCCTGATTCCCGAAAGGTGGCCCCAAGGTAAGCTTAAACGAGAAGCTGTCCATCACTCCATCGCTGGAGCCGGGGACATACTCTGCCAGAAGGTCAAAGTGGGTGGCCCACCTGTCCAAAGAGGTTCTTACATAGACAGACTTGTTGTAGGAGATGTTGAGAACGCGGACCACTCCTTTTAGTATCGTGGTCCCTGGAAGTAACCCGATTGCTTCCAGTTCTACTTTCTGACTCAACACTTTGGCAAGCACCTCTTCGGAAGGCAGTGGAAGGGAGAAAGTTAAAGGCGAGAGGTGGTATTCCACTGAATCTTTACCCTCGACAACTACGGAGTTGCTTCCCTGTAGTTTGGGTAGGTCCCACGTGTCAAACTCCTTCACTTGCACCAGGCTGAGGCCTTTGGCATCGGCGAACGACACCCTCCGGGAGCTGCAGTAAGGAGGTTCTGGATCTGAGTCCTCGTCCGAGAACGAGCTCCTTCTGGATGGGATGGGAGAGGATTTAGGTCTGAAACCGACAACTAAATCACCCTCATCTTCGTCTGGGTCCAAACCGGCGAGGCCCGGGATTGCGAGGTAGTTACAGGCCTCGGAAGGTCTTAGCCGCCCTGCAAACTCCATGAAGCTCCACAGTGAGTGTCAGCAGGAAACTGCAATGTTGCTCCTTCTGCCAGCTGACATTCGACATGCTCTGACTTAACAGACAGAGTCCAGTTACAGATGACATTGTTGCTAGGGCCAACACTATTAATAGGTCAGAAGGGACATAAAATATGTACAGTAGTCTTAAGCCCAAAAGTTGGATCTGATGTCTGCTTCTTTCTTTCATCCTAAGGGAATTAACAAATATAAACTACTTTTAGTCATTTTTTTTATAAAACATCACCAGTGACTAAAGTTTGAGGGATTTTTTTTTCTTATGTAACCACTGTAATTGCTCCCAGTTGAGTTAAACGATAGCGCGGGAATTACCACATCAGCTATTTCAGTGTTGTTGTTGCCCCAGTGGGACACAAGACGTTTAGGGCTATGGAAACAATAATTTCAGACGGTATACTCCTTAAAAAAGCTTATTTTTTTCTCTCTCTAATTTTAATCCAGTCAATATTACTCTTAGCCTCTCCACTTTCACAGAGAGGACAGAGTTTCTGACATCGTGTCAGCAGCTTGACGGTGAAATTCTGACATAGAGAGGCAGAGATTCTCACCGTTCAATATAGCTGTCATGTAAATAGGACACAGTGGTAGTTACGGTAACAATGTATCTCCCTCTGAGCATGTGCATGTCATTTAATCAGTCACCACACAGTACTCTACAACCCCAGTCATTGAACAAGATACTGCAGTCTGCTTGCATAAAGTGCAGTTACATCATGCGCAAGGTGCAGTGTAGTTTTAAAGGGGGATTGTATTTACTTTATTATCCATACATTTTCTCTGGTCCCATGTGAAAAAATATTTGCTCCCTAAACCTAATAAGTGGTTGTGCCACGCTTGGTGGGTTTGAGATAAAAGTCAAGAAGTTACTTTGCATCACTATGGAGGCATTCTGGACCACTCTTGTTTGCAGACGTGTTCATTCATTCAGCCCAAGCATCAACAACCTGTTTCTGGTGATGCAATGCCATCTCAGTTTGGATTGAAGTCCAAACGTCATCTCTGTCAGGAAGTCCCAGTGGCAAGTTCAGGATCATTGTTCATCTTGAATGACCCAAGTGTGCTTGAACTGAGAGTCACAAACTTTTGGGTGTGTACATTCATTTTGATAATATTAATGTAGTATAAATTATTGTGGAGTAATGGATCATAACGTAAAGTAACATAACGTAAAGTAACAACGTAAAGCAAAGTAACATAAAGTAACGTAACATGAAGTAATAACGTGAAGTAGCATGAAGTAACGTGAAGTAACGTGAAGTAATGTAACATAACAAAGTAAGGTAACGTAAAGTAAGGCAACGTGAAGTTACGTATTGTAAACTAACGTAACATAAAGTGGCGTAACGTAAAGTGGCGTAACGTAAAGTGGCGTAACGTAAAGTGGCGTAACGTAAAGTGGCGTAACTTAACATTAAGTAACAAAATGCAAAGTAACAAAGTAAAGTAACATAAGGTAGCGAAGTAATAATGTAACGTGACCTAACAGAATGTAATGGAAAAAAGCATGGAGTAAAGTAACTTAATCTAAAATAATGTAAAGTAATCCAGTGTAATGTAACATGGTGTATAGTAAAGTAAAGCAACTTAAGATAACATAGTGCAAAGTAAAGCATTGTAAAATAATGTTAAGTAGTGTAAGGTTAAGTAATGTAAAGTATGGCAATAAAAGGTAAAGTAACATATAATAGAGTAAAGGTAACTTTCCTGAAGTTCCTTGTTTTTATTCGCTCAAATTTAAAGGGAGGTCCAGATGCGGGAAATGGCACGCTAAAACCAAAAGTTATTTAAAAGTTTAGATCTGTGAGAACAAAAAAGACATAAAATGAATAATTAAATCCCTCCGTTTATATTTGCTGGTGCCACTGCAGACAGACCCCAAGTTATTAAAGGTATAAAGATATACTGTCTTCCATTTATCCACAATCTAAAACTAAACTATGGAGGCATGTTTGGTGCAAAACTATTTGTGCCTTGTAAATGTGAACTTGAACCCTTATTTAGTCTTCGTAGATGTACTTGATGTGCCGGTTCAAACGAGAGCAGTCACAGTTGTAAAAAGGCCTTTGATAACACTTTGACAGCTGTGTTTTTATGGAGCTCTTCTTTTGTTTTTATTTCTTTCCTTCTTTCTTTCTTTCTTTCTTTCTTACTTTCTTTCTTTCTTTCTTTCTTTCTTTCTTTCTTTCTTTGCATAGTTTCCAAAAAATGCAGCTGAACAAAGTAATAAACAGCCCTACTGGTCCGCACTAAAAGGCTGATCATTCCCAGAAAAATCGGGAGGGAGGACACACACACGTTATTATTTGCAAACAAGTTTTATTAGTGCAGGTCAAACAGCTGCAATGAGTAAAAATCATAACAATGTAAACAGGCTGTTTCAATTCGATTTCCTTGCATTGGCTTGGATCGAATGTCGGGGGATGCTGAGCCGAGGAGGCAGAATCCTTTTTCTCATCTGGTTGCACGTCTCCTGTCCTCGCTGCTGCCGCGATGCAGTGACTCCTCCCCACCTCAGGTAGACTCCCCAACTCCACCAGATGTCTCCTTCCCTCAGTCCAAACCTGCATCGCTTGGAGTCACCGTCTCTGTCTGGCTCAAACAGTAACGGTACGTAGCTTTTGTTTAATGTTTAATACTTTAAAAAAAGAAGAAAAAGAAAGTTCAGAAGTTTTGTTCAGCGTTTAGTTTAAACTGTGGGATTTAAATGAGTAAGTTGTTACTGGAAATGACAAGCAGTTTGCCTCAGCTCTTATGCATGTGGAAGAAAGAGAAACAGAAACATCTGTAGGAGTTCATCACCTTCATGCATGAAAGATGTGAATCGATTCCTGACACTGTGTGGACTTATTGGCAAAAAGGTCAAACTGATACCATTCATTAAATGCCATATAAATGGTTATTTGGGTCAAAATGTTTCTAAATGTATTAAACAGGTCAATATTTGTTTTTTTGCTAATCCACGCTCTCTTTCCGGGCTATAAATTGCGCTTTAAGCTTTAAATAAAGTCTGAAGCTTAAAGAGCCAGAGGCGATTTCTTCAACACCTTCTTGAAAAGTGACACTGCAGGTTCCTAAAATAAACATCTCGTCTTGTTCTCGGAACAAAGAAGAAGTGATTCCACCGGGACTCTGAGTCTGAATCTTACAGCCTATTATTTACTGTTGATGGGGGAGCATTTATTCTTTGATTTTTGCTTTTTTAAGGACTTGTGCTGAGATGCCCGAGTCTCCTCTGAGTCCCTCGGCAGCCCGTCAAACTCCAGCCAGCAGCCTGCTCAGCCATGCGGACGCCGGAACGGGGGAGAAAGCGGCTAATGGGGACTCCTGCAGTGGAGTGAGGGTGCAAAGCTGCCAGAGCCTCCTCCACAAACAGGTATCCTCACAGAGTCTGTTTTCAGTCAAATCCTCCTCTTGATGGGTCGGAAACGGCGACGTGAAGAGACAGGATGCAGGCTGGAGTTCTGCTGACAGACCAAAATTAGAACTAGATCAACTTTGTAGATCGATCCAAAATGTCGATAACATCGATACCAAGTATAAATATCAGCATTCAGTCGACACTAGCGTGGGAAGATCAGTACTTTTGTCTCAGATTCCCTCTTGAGATATTATTTTATTTTTGTAAAGTAGTTTCTCAACTTTGTTTTAATTTTTTTTGTTTTAATTTGCTCTCAGATTTTTTTTGCACACTGTTCAATTACGAAAAAATGCACAATTTTTTTTTTTTTTCTATTGTTTCTGTTTTTAATGCTAACATGTAATTAAAGTATTTTGCAGACACCTGTACATTTTGTACAAATTCTGTAAAAAGAAAAAAAAAGAACTCAAAGCAAAAAAAACCCCGTAAAGGTCAGAAGTTTGGTAATGTAGTAAAAACATAAATAATAAAAAGTATTGATATCTGCGATACTTGGTATCAAATCGATACCAAAATGTTAAATATCACACATCTCTAGCGTGAAAGGCCAAAAATCAACTGATGCGAGCTAAAAGCAAACTAAACAGTTTTACGGTTCTCCGTCATATTTTTGTTCCTGTAGACAAACAGCCTGCTCTACAGCCTTTCTCATGTATGTACATATTTTTTTTAAATCACCTTTTTTTTTAAATTGTAGCTTTCAAAACTTTTACTGTATGAGAAGAATTAGCTATATCAGCACTTTTTTTGTCAGCCTGAGGACTAGAAAAGAGTAATGTAGAGTCATTACGTTACAATATACTCGGCTTAACTTCACCTGCTTACAGAAGAAACCCCAAAATTAGGAAAATTATAGTAGAAATGAAGTGAAAAGAAGAAAAATAAAAAGGATGTGATTTTATAAATGACAGCAAAAGTAAAAAAAGTGTTTGGAGCTGACACAAAATATAACCGTAGTAACATTTTACAGTGTAACTTTCAGAAAGAGGAAAAAACAGATTTACAGGATGTGAGTAAAAAACAAAGCTGCTTTTTTAAACTGACGAAGCACCAAGTAGATCCAGAGTTCGATCTACTCGTGTCAATGTAGTCGGCTTCGGTTTAATTTGTGTTCATTTCATGTAATTTTGTTTCCTGTTGCAAAAGTGAAATAACTGGGACGTCGTTCAGTAGGATGAAAATAAATTTGGCTTCTTTAAACTGCATCTTCGTTTTTGACCAGTTGAGAGCAAAACTGACGTTTTCAACTCTTGGTGTGACCAAATCGCACAATCCGACCCTCAATGGTCTTAATCTATTTAAACATCTGATCTTAAATGAAAAGCTGAACTGTACGCCGAGTGGCCCATTTTGCTGAAATTGTCTAGAATGTTTTTTTTTTTTTTTTTTTTTTTT